GCCGCCTCGACGATCTTTTTCGTCGTCGCTTTGGCCCGGCCCCGGACCTCCCTGACTGGCACAGCCTGCTCCGCCAGGGCGTGCCGATCTTTGAGTTAGACATGGATCAGATAGGTGCTGCTTTGCATGCTTTGTATGCTGACGCTTCTAGTGTTGCTGGATCTTACTACCCTGTGTACTCTAGTTTAGGTGTTTCACCCTTGTGTAGCTTAGCTTCCCCTGCTGCGACAGGCGTAGGACTGCCTAGGTTGCCTAGTCTAGTCGCTGCACCGGCTCCGTCCCCGGCCTCCGCCACTGCGTCGCTGTCCTTCACTCTCGACTCTGGTGCTTCTGCCTGCTTCTTCCGCGACCGTTCCACGCTCACGCCGCTTGCTGCACCTGCTGTTGTCTCTCTCGCTGACCCCTCTGCGGGTCCGGTCGTCGCGCGCAGTTCTACGTCCCTTCCCTGTCCGGCAGTTCCCTCGGGCTCCCTTACTGGCCTCCACGTTCCCTCGTTCTCCAGGAACCTGGTTGGTGTCGGCTGTCTTCAGGACCTCGGCGTCACCACCACGTTCCCCGGGCACGAGCGGTTCGCTGTCTGTTCTGAGGCTGTCTCAGGTTCCCCCCTTGCGACGTTCCCCCGGGACACGGTGTCCGGTCTGTTTACCCTACACACCGCTTCCCCCCCGGTTGGTGCGTCCTCCCAGGTCGCTGCAGCTTGCTCGTGTCGGTCCCTCACTCACCCCTCCCTTCTCTGGCACCACCGCTTAGGTCACCCTGCTCTCCCGCGTCTGCGTCACATGTCCCAGCACGGTCTTGTCTTAGGTCTCCCCGCGTCGCTCCCTGCCCTTCCTCCCTCGACTGCGCCACCGTGCACGCCTTGCGTCGAGGGTCGGCTCCGCCGTGCTCCTCACTCCTCCTCGCTGCGTCCTGCTACTGCCCCCCTTCAGACCCTGCACTTGGACGTTTGGGGCCCTGCCCCCGTCCCCGGACCGCGCGGTGAGCGCTACTTCCTTGTGCTTGTCGACGACTACACGCGCTACACCACGGCGTTTCCCCTGGAGCGGAAGGCCGACGTGCCCGACGTTCTTCTCCCGTGGGTTGTGGCTGCGCGTCTCCACCGCGGTCTCCCCGTGTTGTGTCTCCACTCCGACCGTGGCGGCGAGTTCGCCTCTGGTCGGCTTGGACAGTTCTGTCGTGCGGAGGGCATCACCCAGTCGTACACGTTGCCGGACTCGCCACAGCAGAATGGGGTTGCTGAGCGCCGCATCGGCTTGGTCATGGAGGTCGCCCGTACCTCCATGATCCATGCCGATGCCCCCCATTTTCTGTGGCCGTTCGCTGTTCGCTACGCGGCTCACCAGCTTAACCTGTGGCCACGCTCCCAGCGGCCGCAGGTTTCGCCGACCCTCCTTTGGACCGGGTCCCCCGGTGACGCGTCTGCGTTCCACGTCTGGGGCTGCCTTGCTCACGTTCGTGCCTCTGGCACGGACAAGCTCACTGCCCGCACTGTCCCCTGTGTCTTCCTCGGTTTCCCCCTGGACTCGTCTGACTGGCTTTTCTACCACCCGCCGTCTCACCGCTTCCTCCACTCTCGTGACGTCACCTTTGACGAGTCCGTCTCCTTCTACCGCCGCTTCCCTCACCGAGGTCTCCCAGTTGCCCCCCCCCTTTTCCTTGCTCCCTCTCCCCCGGTAGCCCCTGCCCCTCTCCCGCCTCGTCCTGCCCCGTCTGGTGTCTCCCACGTCACTCCCCTCCCGTCGGTTGTCCCCGTTGAGGAGTCTGCTGACTCTGGTGGTACCCCCGGTCCGTCCTTGCCGCGTCCCCCTTCCCCGGTGCCTCCGCCCCCACTGTCGCAGTCGCCGACCCCGCTGCCGCCGCCGTCGCCGTCGCCGCCGCAGCCGTCGCCGCTGTCGTCGCCGCCGCCGCCGCTGTCGCTGCCGCAGCCGTCGCTGCTGTCGCCGCCGCCGCAGCCGTTGCCGCCACTGCCGCCGCTGCTCTCGGCCCCTGGGGGTGCTGGTGTGGAGGAGGGTGTTCGTCCTGCGGCTTCTGGGGGTGCCGCTGGTGTTGGAGGGGGTTCTCGCTCTGGGGGTGTTGGTTCTGGGGGTGCTGCTGTTGAGTGTTCTGCCGACGGTCGTTCTGCCTCTGCTGGTCCGAGAGTTCCGGCCCAGCCGTCGTCGCCGCCGCAGCAGCCGTCGCCGCCGGTTTCCGCTCTCCGCCTGCTCGGCCTTCCCTCCCCGGACCGCGCGCCGGTGTCTCCCCCACCGCCTCCTGACCTCCCTGTCTACGGTCCTGTGTTCCCGCCGCCAGACTCGTCTCCGGCCCGTCTTCCTCCTCGTTCCCCTCCTGTGTCTCCTCCTCTGTCCCCTGACCCTACCCCTCCGTCTCACGTTTGGGCTCGCCGTCCCTCCCGTGCTCGTCCCGTCTCTCCTGTCCTGCCCACCCACCCTATGTTGCTCCGTTCCCACTCGTCTCGTCCTCCCCTCCTCCCGTCCCCTCCTCCCTCGTCCCTTGCTGTTGCACCTCCTCCGTTCTCTGACTACCTCCGTGCTGCTCGTCCCCTTGTCCCTCGGGTCCTTGCCTCTCTTGTTACCGACCCTGCTGTTCCTGTCTCGCGCCTTGACGCGCTTGTCGCTGCTGTCGCTGACTTCGCTTCTACCCGCCGCCTTGACTACGCTACCGCTCTGGTCTCTGACCCTGCCCGTCCTCTATCCGTCGGGGGTGCTCCTGCCCTTGGCAGTGACGTCCTAGAGGACAGGCAGTACGAGCTGGCTTTCCTTTCCGAGGCTGCTCCCCATCTCTGCTCCATGCTGTTAGTCCCTGAGGGTGACCCAGACGCCTTCGACATCCCGACCCCTCGCACCTACGCTGAGGCCACCTCGGGACCTTGGGCCTCTCAGTGGATAGCTGCCATGGAGCAGGAGATGGCATCTTGGAGATCCACCGGCACTTACATCGACGCAGTTCCCCCGCCTGGGGTGAACGTAGTCGATGGTCGGTGGCTCTTCAAGGTGAAGCGCCCCCCTGGAGAGCCGCCTGTCTTCAAGGCGCGCTACGTGGCCAGAGGTTTCAGTCAGCGCGAGGGGGTTGACTTCTTCCAGACCTTCGCCCCGACCCCGAAGATGACCACTCTTCGGGCGCTGCTACACGTAGCAGCACAGCGTGACTACGAGCTTCACTCCCTCGACTTCTCTACTGCCTTTCTTCAGGGCAGCCTACACGAGCAGGTCTACCTGCGCCGACCACAGGGCTTCACTGGTACCTTCCCTCCTGGGACCCAGTGGCTTCTCAGGCGCCCGGTCTACGGCCTGCGTCAGGCTCCCCGCGAGTGGCACGACACGCTACGTGCCACGTTAGCAGACCTGCAGTTCTTTCCGTCCTCTGCTGACCCTTCACTGTTTGTGCGTTCCGGCCAGACTCCGTTCTACATCCTTGTCTACGTAGACGACCTGGTCTTCGCTACTCCTGACAGGGACGCACTGGCCTCTGTGAAGGCTGAGCTGCTGAAGAGACACACCTGCACTGACCTTGGAGAGCTGCGTCGCTATCTTGGCCTGCAGATCTCTAGGGACAGAGCAGCACGCACCATCACTCTGACCCAGTCACACTTGGTGCGTCAGGTCCTTCAGAGGTTCGGTCTTCAGTTCTCCTCCGCACAGCCCACACCTCTACCCGTAGACCATGGGCTCTCTGCTCCCGTTCCTGAGGAGCTAGTAGAGCCCAGTGGCCCCTACGCAGAGCTGGTGGGTTGCCTCATGTACCTGATGACTTGCACTCGCCCAGATCTCGCATACCCTCTCAGCATCCTGGCTCGCTTTGTGGCTACAGGCAGACACCGACCTCAGCACTGGTCTGCCGCTAAGAGGGTTTTGCGTTATCTTGCTAGTACATCAGGCATGGGGTTAGTGCTAGGAGGACGCAGGCCAGTGGTCCTTACTGGGCACACAGACGCTTCTTGGGCAGACGACGCTGAGACGCTCAGGTCGTCGCAGGGCTACTGTTTCAGCCTTGGTTCGGGTGCTATCTCTTGGAGATCCACTCGCTCGTCGTCTGTGGCTCAGTCTAGCTGTGAGGCTGAGATCTACGCTGGTGCCATGGCGGCACAGGAGCTCCGCTGGCTGACCTTCTTGCTCACAGACTTAGGTGAGCGGCCTAGCTCTGCCCCGGTCCTGTACGCTGACAACAGGGCCATGATACTTCTGTGTCAGGAGCCTCGGCTTGAGGGCAGAGCGAAGCATATCCAGCTGCGGTACTTCCTCCTGCGCGAGCTACAGCAGCGCCGCCAGGCCCGCGTAGTTCACTTGGCCTCAGGTGCCAACACAGCTGATATCTTTACTAAGGCGCTTGCGCCTAAAGATCATCAGCGGCACTGTGTACAGCTTGGTCTTGTTCCTATAGCTGCTCCCCTGTTAGGATCCTGATTGTGTACTCTCTATTATATATGCTTGTCAGACTGGCCTTGTGGCCTTACCTCCAGTGGCTGGACTAGTAGTGCCACCTTGGCTTGCTTCAGTTTTGGTTGTATTCTTGCTGACTGGTCTCCAGACCCCTGCCTCAGTGGTTGGACTAGTAGTGCCGCCCTGAGCTGTTTGCTTCTTGTTTAGTTTCACCCCTTGTCTAGCCTAGGGGGTGTGTCAACTTATACATATTATCTATGTAGAAGTTATAGGCTAGACTGAGGTATGCTTCTAGTGAGTACAACCAACTAGTATTTGTTCTAGGTTTCCACCTCTAGTAATCATTCGTTTCTACGTTAACATGGACACTCTGGGCGTGTATATCGAGCAGAGTGTCCATAGGTATGACGTGTCTAGCTGAGACTTTTGGAACATGCAGTGGCTGACCTCGTGTCTGACAGCACTGTGCACATGAGACATTCTAAGCATACAATTTCGCCCTTTACCCATATCCACAGTTTTATTTGATCATTCTACAATCTCAATATAAGCATGGGGCAGTTCTCGACACAAGCTTATGTCCCACCCCGAGGCAGAAAGATATGTGAAACAGTTGGTTAGCATATTTTAGCAAAATCAAACTTACAAAACATGCCTTTACGGTAGATAGGAAAATAATGACACTACATTCCATTAATCTACATTAGCCTTAACATCAGCATGCGCTAGAGATCATCAATAATGGACTAAGGAACATCCTAGAACGGGCTGATGAATTTAGCTGCACTCAGCAGCACTTCTGGAACCATCCACTTGCGCTCTGGCCCCACTGCTACACCTCTCGGCCCCAATGCGACCGGTGTTGCTCTAGGGTTCTGCACACCACCCGTACCTGGTCTTGTCAGAAGCGCATCCATCTCTCCAAAAATGCGCTGCTCTGTTGAACCTGGGGGGAAACCCTTCTCTCCTAAAACAGTCACAGCAGGACTTGGTAGGTGTTGGAGCACTTCGAGAGGAGCCCTCATTTCAGGCAGCATGTCAGCTGTAGGTGCAACAGCTAGAGAGGGAGAACAGGCCACCATGGAGCCACCATGACCAGCACTTGAAGAAACAGCTTCTGACTCATAATGCAGGGGTGACGTGGCGCATCTCGATAGGTGGTTGTGGCTGTGCCTATCCTCCCCATGCACAATGTCGAGAATGTCCTCCACGAGCTCGTCTCTGCCACCCCGAAACAGATCCTGCGATCAGGACAGAAAACACGGGGCAGCAGGGGAAGGGGGGAAGAAGTAGGGGTGGAGAGGGTGGTGTGGTGTTAAGCTGCTCTCATGCCATGCACTATGTCCAAAAGATCTTCCACCGACTCGTCTCTGCCGCCCGGAAACAGCTCCTGAAGGGATGAAGGAAGCCGGTGGGAGAAGGGGGAAGAACAAGGGGGCGGAGAAGGGAGGGGGGAGGGGGGAAGGGGGAGGTGATCCATTGGCTATGCTACAGCAGGCTACAGCAGGATTCATTATATGCATAACCAGAATGACGTGTATGTGCCCCATAAAATAACATTCGTTATATGTATGAGTGCGTGAGGTCAATGCATCCCGTGCCACTGTACAGCTTCACTCTTGCATCCAACGTACCCCTTATAAAGAATTCATCAATTGCAATTCTCTACCTGCAGTGTCAGATCGATGTGCCCCTTGCCACTGTACAGCTTCACTCTCGTCTCTAACATACCTCCAAATGGTGGACTCATTATATGAATAAGTACCTGAAGAGTAAGATCGATGTGCCCCTTGCCACTGTACAGCTTCACTCTCGTCTCCACCCCTGCCCCATGCAATGCCACTCCAAAGTCATCACTGTAATGTCATCATGCCATCATGCCATCATGTCATACCATGAATGCCAGCAATACAAGAGAGACGAAGGAATAAGAGACAGGCAGAGAAAGCCAGGAGGAGGTGGTTGAGTGACTGTAACTGGTGTGACTAAACAAAACTTTTAACAGCAGCTGTGAGTCAAAAGGGTGCTCACCTGACAGTAAAGGGCACGGAGATATCGCCCACTCCATGGTGCAGATGCGCTGGGGGAGTGGGGGGTGTGTGCCTGTACCTGGTGTGACTCACCACATCTGAATCCAACTGTTGAGATGATTACAACGGTTGCTCACCTAGCGGTGAAGGGCACAGAGATGTCGTCCACCCCGTGGTACAGATGCACAGGGGGCAGCAGAGCGGCGGCAGATTTGACTGGCACGACGGTCACCATGCCTGCGCTGCCTGGACACAACCGCTCGCCCCTCGCAGTGAAGGGCACGGAGATGTCGTCCACCCCAGGGTACAGACGCACGAAGGGGCAGCAGTTTGACTGTAACAGTTGTGATTGTAACAGGCGTAAATAGTTACCTGGCAGTGAAGGGCACGGAGATGTCGTCCACCCCGTGGTACAGATGCACAGGGGGCAGCAGAGCGGCAGCGGGCTTGAAGGTGGGCCGAGAGACCAGCAGCTCAGGCGAGAAGAGCGGCAGCGAGTCCTCCCCTTCGAATATGCTGTGGGGTTGGAGGGAGGCGAGGAGGGGGGGAGGGGGAAAAAAGAATAGAGCAGGCTTGAAGGCAGAGAGTGAGGCAAAGAGGGCGAGAAGAGCGGCAGCGACTCTCCCCTTCGAATATTCTGTGGGATTGGAGGGCGGGGGGGGGGAGGGGAAGAGGGGGGAAAACGAACAGGAGCAGTGTGGAAGGCACCGAGGGACGAAAGCAGCTTTGGGGGAAAAGAGCGGGAGAGACTCCTCGCCCTCGATTTTGCTGAGAGGAAAGCGGAGGGGTAGCGGGTAGGAGGACAAGTGAGGGGGGTGAAGCAGCGGACAGGAAGGCAGGCAGCAAGGCAGCACGGTTGAACGCAGAACGGGAGACGGTTACCAGGAGAGGCTAGGGTTACCGGGAGAGGCTAGGGTTACCAGGAGAGGTTACGGTTACTTACGAGAGGAAGAGGTAGGGGTTCATTCCCCTGGCCTCGAACTGCGGCGCAAGGTTGACGAGATTGTAGCTGGGGGGAGGGATGAGGCAGAGCGAGAGAGGAGGGAAGGGGGAGATGGCCAAAATCAGGCACATGGGCGAGAGGACGTGGACGCATGGGCGAGAGGCAGTGGACGCATGGGCAACAGAGGAATATGAGTTTCTGAATGCAAGGAACGTGGGCAGGTTGAGAAGTGAGAAGACTTTCGGGAATAAGCAAACTTGCGTGAGTGCTGTGAGTGCTGGGAGTGGTGTGAGTGGTGTGAGTGGTGTGACTGCTGTGAGTGCTGTGAGTGCTATGCGTGCCGTGTTAATGCGCACAGCACTCATGCAAACACACATTCTCCCCCTTCCTTCAATGCCCTCCTCCCAACTCACTATCCCCCCCAGCTCACCATCCCCCCCAGCTCACCATCCCCCCCAGCTCACCATCCCCCACAACTCACCATCCCCACAACCCACCGCCCCCACAACTCACCATCCCGAGACGCCAATGAACGATTTGATCTGTTCGCTGCCCCACACGTCAAGCACGCCTCTCCCCGGCTCGCTCCCCTCCCCCCCACCGCTCCCCGCCAGATGCGCCAGCAGCCTCTGCATCGACAGCGAGCGGAACGGCGCCTTCCCCGTCCCCGCGCGCAGCACTTCCGCGCGCAGCCCCGCCACTGTCTCAATCTCCGCGCGCAGTCCCGCGGCTGGCGCTATGTGCGGGTCCGTGGGGGAAACGGCGGAAGCGACGGGCGGAAAGACGACAGCGGCGGGGAGGGGGAAAGGGGACTCGGGGAGGGCGGAGGTGCCGCAGGTGGCTTGAGCGAGAAGGGTGGAAGAAGGGTCTACTCTTTCCGTGCCTCTAACCTCCGCGATCGGGATATTGGGGAAGCTTGTAACGGGGACGTCGGGAATGGTAACGGCGGCGGAAGAAGAAGCAGCGGGAATCCTCCAGGCATCGACGGGATGGACTTTCGCGGAAGCAGCAGCGGAATAGCAACCCACCGCCTCTGCTGCTGATGCCGCTGCGCCTGCTGCTGTCTCTGGTGCGCTCACAGCTACCCCTACACGTGCCTCTTTTCCTACAACCCCCACCACCTGCTGCTGCTGCTGCTGCTGCTGCTGCTGCTGCTGCTGTTGCTGTTGCTGCTGCTGCTGCTGCTGTTGCTGTTGCTGCTGTTGCTGCTGCCATTGCAACCCGCCATCAAACGGCGACAGATTACGCTGCTGCTCCAGCGGCGCCGCCCCCGACGCGCGCATTAAAGCCTGCCTTATAACCGCCACCGACGACAGGTGCGCTCCGGCCGACTGCCCCGCCAGGTGCACGCGGCTCGGGTCGCCGCCATACCGGTGGATGTTTTTCAGCACCCAGCCGATGCCACGTGTCACGTCGTCCAGCATGCCGCTAACGGTGGCCTGGGGGAAGTTCCTGTAGTCTATACTCGCTACAATCACGCCGCGCTCCTCTAACGCCTGAGCTAGCAGCGTGCCCCACGCCTTGTAGCCTATGATCCACGCGCCGCCCGTTATGAATATCACGACGGGACGCGGGCGCGGGGAAGGAGTCGAGGGGACGAATATATCCAAGCTGGATGGGGGCCGGGGAGGGAGGGAGGGCAGAGGGGGGAAGAAGGGGGGGGGGGAAGAAGGAACTAGGAGGGGTAAGGGACGCCGGGAGAGGAAGGGGAGAAAGAAAGAGTGCTTGGGAAGGGGGGGGGGGGGGGGGCGGGGGGGGAGGAAGGAAGGGGGAATGGGGGAAGGGAGGGGAGAAAAGCGCGAAGCACCCACCTGTTGCGTGGCAGTCGGCCGTAGGGTATGCTTCGGCGGACGTTGGGGGAGAGGAAATAGTACCACATGACTGGAGAGAGAGGGTTTTGGGGGGGGGGGGGGGGTAAGGGAGCGGGGAGGGGCGGGGAGGGGCGGGGAGGAGGGGGGAAGCAGGGGGGGAAAAGGGCAGGGGGGATACAGGACTTAGGGGGGAGATGTTGAGGGAGATGAGCCGTTCAAAACCACAAAAAGCAAGAAAGCTTGCACTTGTCTGGTTACCTTGTTATACACACGACCGCCAAAGCTGACCAGTAGCGCGGGCCTGGTTACTTCAAGCAAGCTGGTTACTTTGTTACAAGCTTGAGAGAATGACTGGTTACCTTGCAGGAAGCCGGGCATGAGCAGCAGTGAGTAGATCATGAGGCAGAAAAACTTGGACATCCAATTGAGCCCGAGACTGGTGAGAGGGGGAGACAGGCGTCGGAGCAAGAGAAGGGACATGGCGTGAGTCGACTCAAAAGTCACCTCGCAAGGGAAGGGACATGGGATGAGCAGCAGGGAGTAGAGCATGAGGAGGAAAAACTGGGACATCCAATTAAGGCCGAGACTGGTGAGAGGGGGAGACGGGCAGGCGTAGGACGGGCAGCGCGAGAGGAGCAAAGAAACGGGGAACGCGGGCGTGATTGGAGACGGTCCTGCGAAATATCACGAAGAACTGCCGCGAAACAAACGTCAATTTACGGAGGAGTTACGCGGGGGACTAAACGGCGCGGTAGCATTACCCGAGAAACTGGAGCAGCTGTACTGTGAGCCTGGTCAGCTGAAAAGTTTCCGCGGCTGCCCGCCGAACGCTCCGGCCAATTAGAGCGGCGCGTGTGGGGCATCTGGCCGCGCCATCACCCGACGGCGAGCGGTCAATTGTGGAAATACTGCGCCTGCGAGGCAGACAGCACGCAGCGGCGGCCGCGGCTGTGACTGCTGACGATGAACAGACGGAGGGCCCATCTGGCGTGTCTAGTAGTGTTCTCCCGATCGGCTGTGCGGTGAACATTGACCGTGCGAATTTCGCGAACGTCGCGGGAAGGAAGTCGCTAAGCGAGGATGAACAGGAGGCGAGGGAGGGAGAGAAGCTGGATAGTGAGGATGAGGCGACGGTTGATTCAGGGAGGTCGGAGGGTGCGCTTCTAAGCTTGGCCCGCCGTTCGGAGCAGCAGTTAGAGAAGTATTTACAGGTGGCACGCACTAGCCGTTGGGGTTGCAGCGTCGCTACGAGCAACTTATTCCCGGAAACAACGTAAGCTGACATTCACAGCGAATGACGGCTGTATTGCTGTGCGACGATCACCTTGTGGGGGGCTGCTTTCAAGCTACCTAAGAACGGGTAACACATGAAATTGACAGGAGCACACATTGTAGGCACTTCGAGCGGTAGATGATCGAAGTGGTAGAATTGAAAGCTCAACACCCAAATCCAAGTGGCAGCCGAACAACACCCAAGAAGCAACGCGGGAGGCAGGCAGCCCTGTACCTCGGTGAGCAGAACTCGAGGACCGTGTAACACGAGCAAGCGATTGGGAACTGGGCAGCGGGGAGGGGTGGGGGGATTTGGTTGGGGGAAAGTTGCGCGCATCGTCGGGAGGAATCCTCCCACGGCGGTGGAGGAGGGCTGCGGAGAGGACAAATAGTACACGGCGCGCGGCACTGACGAGGCATCCATATGCGCGCACCCCGCCCGAGTTGACGGGGAGGGAATTTCGTGACCGGGGGGCGGCGCACGAAAATGCGAAGGCCTGGACATATGCGCGTATCCGGTGAATGGGGAGACTACGCGGAAAATAGAGGGGCGGACTGCGTCACCCTCACCCATGAGGAGGAAATCCGCTGGGGGAGAACCTTGGGGAAAGCGGCGACCCTACGGAAGTTCACGCGCTTCGGATTCTCTGTTTTGTTGCAGATATCCACGTGGGAGTGAGTCATTAGCTGACGAGGTGGGGAAACTTACCAGGCGACCTCTCGACCTGTGCCTGACGATTGGAAAAGGCCTTCTACTATTCGCTGACGGTTTCTGACCGAACGCTGCGACTCCTTCGTGCGACTTTGAGAACAGCGAGGGCGGTGTCGGCTACGCCATGGCGCGGTGCGAGATGGCTCAATACGAGGGATGGATGAACTTGGGCGCCAGCCACGTGGATAATCCTTTATAATGTGAATCGTATACCCACGGGGCAATTTCTGACCCTTCCATTCTTATTATTACATTATCCGCTCTACTTCACACCACTAGCTTCTAAACCAGGGTGCTAATTATCAGACTTTCTTTTGTCTGATTGTATGTTTTTCAGACAGTTTTTTTCCGGTTAGCTCTGTATTTCCGGACAAAGATTTTGTTTTTCTCTGATTTGCCTAAACAACGGTTTTTTTTGTTTCTATTATTTTTTCATACTAGGTGTATGGTACCAGGTTCTCTGAAATTTAGACAAGTGTTTTGAGTTTCTCTGAAACAGAGTCTTACTGTACATGTGGTCCCTGAGGAATATCCCTGATTCCACGCCGCCCCAAAACCATCCCACCCTGTCCTCCCCGCGCAGTCAGCAGACGTCACCATTCACGAACCTTTGATAGGGGCAATGCGTGACAGCGCACGAGCACGAGCACTTCTGATTGGACACTTAAGCTTTTTTGCAGCATTGTGGTCCACTCACAACACACAGCGGCGCACAGCAGGGATGTAAAATGTACAACACACATGAAGCAGGCAAACTGGCGAGCATATGCATCTTTTACAGGAACCAAGGCAGTATAAGCCCGCACAGCTGTGCCCACGCATCACTCCTCACACAGCTAACCTTCCTCACGTGCATCGTCTCATCTTGACTATTCGCGTCGACCCTCTCTGCTATGTTTCCTCTTCGACCGCTTCTTCCGCAAGCACAGCTGACGTACATCCCATCGCAAGATGGGGGGGTGTTCTCTCTCTTCATATTGCTGCTGCTCGGTAATTGTTTCTGCTCGTGGTTTAGCCTTTTCACAACCAGCCAACCATGGCTGATGACGAGGTCGAGCCTGACGGCGACGAGAGGCTGGATGGTTCTTCCCAGCCCCTCCTTAGCGGCTTGGATTTCTTCGATCTAGGCGTATCGCAACTGCTAAACCGTCGCGTCGTTCTAGCACCACTGATACTCCGCCCTCCCCTTCCATGCCCGAGCATTCGCCATGGCCCATTCCCTTAGTGTCCCCGCCATTGTCCCCCTCTCAGCACACTGCACTTACTCAACCAACTCTCACACAGCATCTTGCAGCGAGTACAGCAGTGCGCCTTGAGACCACACGTAGCATGTCTACGAACAAGCAAACGTACAAGCAGGTCTCGCTGCCTTGGGCCAAGGGTGCATCGTCGAAAGTTCCCTCGCCCGCTCCACTGGATGCGCCTGTTTCACGCGCTACACCCGGCCCCTCCTCTGCTGGGGATCCTCCAGAAGAAGATGATGACGCGGAGGATGACGAATGGAGGCCGAGAAGGTGGTGTCGCGGAAGGATGCTAAGACGAAGTGGGCGGATCTCAAGCACACGTTTGACACAGAGTGGGAGAAGAAGTTTCCCTGGTTGGTGCTTACGAAGACAGACAAGGGGAGGCCGTCGATTAAGTGTAGCGTCTACACGACACATCAATATGAGGTCTGCAAGTACGGCAAAGGGGGGCAGGGAGACGTCGACACCCAAGTGCAGACCACGAGGAAGCATCAGCGGACGAAGAAGCACCTGGCCGCTATGGAGAAGAAACAGGCGAAAGAGAAGGCAGAGACCAAACAGAAGTGGATTGAAGATTTCAGCAAGAGGCATGCGGAGGGGAAGCGCGCTATTCGACTGTTGATGGCCATGCTATTCATTTGTCGCACTGACGCTCCTATATTGATCTATGTGGCTCTGGTCAATTTTATGGCGTCGCAAGGAACGCCGGAACTTGGCGAGGGAACCTACAGAAGTTGCTTCACTGAGTAAGTATCCTCAACGAAGGATTTTTTCTATGTTTCTGAGTGAGCTCTTTCTAACACCCTTTGTTAATGTGGCGCGTCTACAGGTATGGTTTCCGAGAACTTACCGATGCGACAACACCATACCTGAGGCGGAAACAACTGGAGCACATACAGAAGAGTCCATTCCTCGGCATCAGCCTGGACGAGAGTACCGGCAAACGGCGCAGGAAGCATCTAATTGTTTACCTCACCTTTGTGAAGAAAGGCCGCGTCGTAACCAAGTTCTTCGCACAGCTTACGGTGCACATGTGTGATGCTGCATATCTGTTAGCTGTCTTGCAGACTCACCTTCTATCTTTTGGCGGGCGCAGAGGTCATGTGCGCGCGCTATGTCGACTGCACCTTAGCCTTCGGCGGCCCGGGGAGCAAGCACTTGCACAAATTCCTGTCGAGGCATGAGCAGGAGTGCCGAGTGGTCGTCGAGGGCGAAGCGAAAGACGGCGAGCCAATGCGGCATGAGTACACACTCCACGTGAAACACATCTCGGACTCCGAATTCGGCAATGACAAAAAGAGTTGCATGCTGCTCTGCCGCGCTTTCGTTCTCCAAACCATCGACAAGGTCCAGTCGCGCTTCACCGATCTGCAACAACTAGGCGGAACGAAGCTGTTCCTCTCCAGCGTGTACCCTACAGTCTGCTCCGACTGTGAACAACTTGCGCTGGAGTGGTTTGCTTCCCTGAGGAAGCTCTAAAACAATAAGCCACTTCCAGGTTAGCTGCACACCTTGCTGACGTGGCCTGCCTTTTCATACTCGAACTAATACCTTCCATTTTGCGCTCCCTTCACTATGTCCCCCCCCCCCACCCCCAACTCACAGGAGTCAGCCGGAAGAGGGCGATGGCCGAGCTGTCTTCGTTTGTCAACATCATGGTATCGCACCACGCGGAGATGCCGTTCCACGCCAGGTTGGGGCCGAATAGGTCGGTGGGGGCTGGTTTGGCGCGTAACTTGAGGGACGAGCCTGTGGACGCGAACTGTTTGCGTGTACTTGCTGAAGCGAGCCCCAATAAGGAATGGTAATTCATTGCACTCTCCCACGTTCTAAAGAAGGCACTCCCCATATCGAGGTCGAACCTTTTATCTAAATGAATCCCCGAAGTGACTGTAGGTCTTCAAGCCTGTGACGAGCGTAATGATTACTCCGGCCTGACGAGGTATCGAGATCGAAGTGCAATAAAAGGGAAGGTATCTCGGCGCTCAGTATTAGGGGCCTCGATAACAAAATTTCAAAATTGCGACCTTGCGAATTTATATCATATAAGCTACAGTAATTGGGCCACAGCAGGCCGCACTTCGGGTGCGACAAAAAACGAAAACATGTGATACGAAAGGGCAAATGTATCTAGGATCGGTGCTAAGCCAATAAGGCTCGAATATTAAACTGTAGTGCGCGTGCGCTAATTTGTTTCGAGCATGACAAGACCTGTAGAGTCGTAATTCGGCTCAAAACTTTTCCGGTAAATACATTTGTTGGAAAAATCAAAAGACAACCGGCAGACTTCTAATAGATTTCTTGTATTGAAATTAATACAAAATTAAACAAGGTTATCAGAGTACCTTGACGCGCTTTTAAACATATTTATCTCCAAAAAATAAACCTCCGTAGCTATCTATAAATGCTATTATTTTAAGGCGACTCGGGAATGACAACAAGTTTATGGCTTGACTTTTCTTTGGGGCTGTAAATGCGGTAAAGACAAATCCGCCATTTTTAATAATCGCGGAATGCGCTACCCTCTGTGACGAAAGTACGTGCTTCGAAACAAAATCGAGTTTTCGTGTTTCTCGACTAACAAATTTCGAATGTGTTTTTATATAGGCATTTTGCGTTTTTTTCGCTCGAACTGCACCTGGAGCTCGAGAAAAATATCGTGCCAGCCACAATGATGAAGAAATTGGGCTGGCGCAGGCGGGAAAATGTTCCGAGACGGAAGGGGGTTACTTCTACTGACCATTCGTGGAACTTTTATCCTGCAGTTTTTTACTAACGGTGGAACCCGACTGATCACTTATGTTGAGAGCTCGCTAATTCTGATTGTTTGTATCGTGCTACTGACCGTACATATTATCGAGGCCCCTAATACTGAGCGCCGTTATACTTTCACGCAATAAAAGGTCAGAAAGAGTCAAAACGATCGCTTTTAATCTCAGCCGTCGAAGATGTTGAATTCTTCAGTTGACCGAACAGGCAAGTGTAAGTAGTCCAGCGGAAGCCTGTGAACCGTGAAAACTGTCGATTGGGTGGTTGTTGATGACGAGTGGCTGTTGGATATCTTCCGTAATGATGAAACTGTCGAATGGTGTGGCCGATGAAATGATGAACCCGCTCATCAAATGCAAGGTTGTTTATGTCACATGCGAGAGCACACGTCTGTATCTCCCGAAACTCGGCGAACTCTATCAACAAACTGACAAACAGAGGTGCAGAAGCGTAATGGAAATGAACTTCGGTCGAAGATGGATGATGGAACATCCCCAGAGGGTCACACGAAATCCCAACGCTGCTGCTTTAAAATCCCATCAATCAGCTTCGAAGATGCGGCGACGAGAAGTCCATCTTATAAAACTCTCAAATCTGCTCCAAATGTGAAATTCTTTTGCAGGGAAAACCGCTCCAAGAGACTTGAAACTCAGAAGTAACTGCTCCCGTAGACTCCCACACGAACCAAATTTTCTTCTCAAGTTGACCTAAACTTTCTTTCGATTCGATACTGCCGCTGTCGATTGTCGGATGGCGATGAGGTGTCGTGTTCATACATGCAAACGAAATGAGGATGGAGGCAGTAGCGGGTGGTGGCAAGAGGTTAACTACGATGACGATGGAAGTAACACGTACTAAACCACTCCAATGGAAAATCTCGAACCGAACTCAGTGTCAAGTGCCGTCAGCTGCTCCCGAATATTACGGCGTGTACGGTCTAAAGAAGCTTCTTTGTCCGTACACGCCGTAATATTCGGGAGGAGCCGAAACCGCTAGTGCTCTCCCTCCGCTCCATGTACCCAAACTTTTCCGCAAATGTCAGTCGATGTTGCTCGTACCCCTGAAGGTAGCGGGTACAAATCCAGTTGTAAAACCTTGATCTGCTCCTCAAAACTAGCGAAAATGCCAAAACTCCACCCGATACTTCGAAAATACCGCAACTCTGCTTCACAGCTAACCGTAAAACACTCAGGCTTCGCGACATCCTTTAGCAGCACCCCTACGGTTTCTCCGCCAACTGTACGCATGAAAACAACCCTTTATTTTAGGGAACGCCGGCATCCACCGCCTCGGCATGATGTTTTGACCGTCGATCAGGGTCAACGCGCATCATACGCCGTTGATCTCCGCCCATCTGTTACCCAAGTCCAGAAATTCTCCCTACCCCTGTCTAGCTAGCTGTGCAGACGTTCACCCATCTCGCGGGTGCTGCAGGTCACCCCAAATCAGCTTTGCTGCTGCTTAACTAACTAAGAGAATCCGCAGAGATAGGAGTGCGCACGCTTCTAGTCAGTGGAGCTTTAACGAGCTTGCCTACTGACCGCTTGACAGCTCCCTCCTCCGTCGGAGACTCGTCAAACTACACCCGCAAAATCGGAAACTCCTTCTGCTGCACCAAGTGAAGAACTCAGCTCCGTTTGCAACAGTTACAACTGAAATTTTGGGGACACTCCATAAGCACAGTATTGTTTGCAGGTTCACCCCCCTTATTTATCAAGAAGCCGTCGATTAATAAGTCAACACTGCTACATGGTGGGGATGGTGATATTCGGGCGACGTAGCTGAGCGAATAGTAGCCCGAATGCCGCTAACCCTTAACTAAGCTCCAGTACTCCCGTCGTTCTTCTTGCACTACTTCAACTCCAGACAGTTAACGCTTTCGGCGACCGGTGGAAAACACTTAATGCATTCCCGAGGATGGTGGCCGAGGTTTCCGTTGATCGTGGGTGTACAAATCGTTGGTCCACGAAAACGCCTCCCCATGCGGGAAGTCACCCTCGCTGAGTACACTTACTCCAGCACAGCGTCATCACCTCCAGATGGCCGTCGTGGTGAATAGCGTCGAGGTCGTTAATCATAGCTGCTCCCCTATAACTACACACCCACACCTGCCTCGTGCGATCGTGTCGTGCCGAATTTATTGAGGCCGCCCATTGCCGAAACAGTTTATGAAGTCACGTCCATCGTCTGCAACTAGCCTGCCAGAAACGCCGGTACCCGCGACACAGCTACAGTTCACTCTGCAGCTTCATGGCACGTCCCGCCATTGTCGCCACCCCGCGCACTCCTGACAACCAACCCCCGGCCGCCTGATGACTCTTGTGCATTTGTCTCCTCGTGACGAAGCCATAGCTTTTTTCAAAAGCCAATCCGAAGACTCCCTCACAATACCTGAAAATTACGAAAGCTCTAACGAATGTATCCGAAAAACACGGCAAAAACGTCGTCACACTAGGACGGGAAATAATTCCGGGTTATAACAAGCATTTGTCGCCGAGTACATTTATTATAACTCAGAGAAAAGCGCAGTATTCAACAAGGGGAACGTGATTGCAATGTGTTGATAGAAATGAGGTAGAGGGAAAATATAGGGCGATTGACTAGGTTTGAATTTCGAGGGTTGGAGCAATTAAGGGCTCGATAGTCCCGAGGGTGACGGGTCCAAAACGGGTCCGGGGCGACTCGGAATTAGGTTGGGGCCGAATAGGTCGGCAGGGGCTGGTTTGGCGCATGACTTGAGGGCCAAGCCTGCGGAGGCGAACTATTTACGTGTACTCTCTGAAACGAGCCCTAGTAAGGAATGGTGATTCCTCATATACATTTTCCCCTCTATTATCCTACCCGGAGTAGTCCAAATTGCAATCTCACCTACGAAGTGTTAAATTATATAAGTTATTATATAAGTGTAGGCTTGGTAGATATTACTGAACATTACTGTAGAGGGTACAGCACCCATCCTTGTATCCCTCTCTCTTTCTTTCTAGCTCTCTTTTCTCTCCTCAACTTTCCTAGCCTAAAACCTCTCGTCATTTCCATGGCTCCTCCTAGCTCCTAGCTAAACCTCATGCCATTTTATGGCTTCCTAGCTAAGCTAGTCTCGTGATACCAGGTTCTCAGTATGATTTGCATTGACACTGAACCTGATTGGTTGCAGTCTGAACGATAGCGAACGGCCAAGTTGTATTTCGACAATTGCGGGTTTCACTGCTGGGACGTCGCGCAGGCAACTACAGTGCATGAGCGAGATTTTGTAACCAAGTGTCATTGTTTACTATGGGATTTCCCTTTCATGGTCCCGTTTGCCCGTGGTTTACAATTTCCTGCTTACAGACTCAAGCCGCGTGCAAAAAAACGTGTGACTAAATAAGAGAACAAGTGTACTTATCGGCCCCCTTCAGTGGGAACGGGAAACCCGCCTTGAACCCTCAAGTTTCTGGAGATACAAATCTGGGGCAAACCCGCTCGCTCTTGCAGTTTGCACACAAATCGTTCGTCTCCAAGTCTTCGCTTTCTCTGTCACATGGATCGGGCCATCACTCTCGCCGTTCGCTCCATTTGACCTCTCTCCACTCTTGCTTCGTGTCTCGTGGGCCCCCCCTGTCAGCTCCTTTTGCCGTCGTTTGCTGTCCCTTTCTTTCTCTCGCCACGTCATTGTCTCGATCACTCTCGAATCCATTCATCCTCTACGTTGAACCTTAATAAACAGAACTCACTCAATAACATGATTCGCTGCTTTCTCCTGCTGCATTCAGCTTCCCCCTTTCATGCCCTTCGTTCGCCGTTGTTCGTGTCTTGTGCATTCGTCGTCTCTTCTCCGTCCTGGCTTCCTCCTAGACGGCCTGATGGCGCCGTCCAATCATCTTCTGATGCCATCTTAAACCCGATCTGATCTCAAGGCATACTGGTGGGGTGCCTTCTTAAGATCGCCCTCATGATTAAAACCTTACCTCGACGGGGTTGCTTATGCATCCACCGTGGGAGCTTTATGCAGAAATTTGGAATGAAGGGAGATCGCATTATTCCGTTCTATTTGACAAGGCCAATCTTTGGTTGTATGCATCGTACAATACATTCTCACTTCTCGTCTTCGTTTTTGCTTGGATATAATGTCCAGGCCAGGACGCAAACTGTCACAACAGTTCTGGTCAAGGACGCTGGTGAAAAGTGTCACAGGGTCAAGGGTAGTGTGAAAAATCCTTAGTGGTTGACCACCGAATAACACTGAATGAAGTATAACGCGGAATGAACGCTGGAAACAAAAACAACATGCAACATAAAGCATGACAACAGAACAAGCGACAATCATTATTCAAAGATCAGAGTGCCATCCATGCAAGAAAGGCACTGTTGCCCCATCTTGAGACAGCTACCAGCCCAGCAAACGCCAGAACCCCTTGAACCAAACTCAACGGTTGAAGCTTCCACTTCTTGACACTCTTCCCCAGTGCTGCTGCTCCAGCGGCAGTGACAGTTTCTCTTTGCAGTGTAATTCGCCCCGAATGGTGCAGCCACACTGCGAGTGCCACATACACCCCCACCACCACCAACCGAACTCCAAGGCTCTCTGCTGCTCCGGCAATCGCTGCCACTGCTGGCGCCACCACTGACAGCCAGTTAGGTCCGGCCGAAGCTAGACCATTGGTGGTGGTTGAGGAAGCGGAGGAGGAGGCGAGAGTGGGTGAAGCAGCTGATGGGGAAGATGACGAAGCAGCAGGCGCTGAGGAGGAAATGACGGCACGAACAGCAGCAAACACTGTCAGGATGATCAGGTTCAGGAGGAAAACCAATCCTGGAGTGACACCTGTCACAAGGGCGACAGCCGCAGCTCCAGCGAGCCACAGCGGGCCGTTAAGTCTCTCAGGGTCGGAGTCGAATCGCTGGGCTACAGTAACAACAGCGGTAACCAGAAGCGAGTTGATAATCACCGGACCGACTGGCATGATGTCAAATTGAGCGAGAAGAGCGAAATACAGAAATTCGGCGCCGGATGCGATGAGCGAGAGGAGGGCAGTGAGGGGAGTGAGGATGGGGTCGGGGAGGAGGAGGAGGAGGGAGTGTGCGAGGAAGAGGAGGAAAACGGCAGTGGAGCCACAGGCAGCGGTGAAGAGGGAGAGGATGAGGAGGGAGGAGCGGATGAGCTCGTTGAGCAACCAGCGGCGGTTGAGGAAGAGAATGAGGGCCACTGCAGGGAATGGGGAGGGAACAGGAGAGGGGGAGAGGAATCGATGGGGAAAGAGTGAGCAGGAGAATGCAGTGCAAGAGGAGGGAGGGAGAGAATGAGGAGGGAGGAGTGGATGAGCTCGTTGAGCAGCCAGCGGCGGTTGAGGAAGAGAATGAGGACCACTTCAGGGAATGGGGAGGGAACAGGAGAGGGGGAGAGGAATCGATGGGGAAAGAGTGAGCAGGAGAATGCAGGGCAAGAGGAGGGAGGGAGAGAATGAGGAGGGAGGAGCGGATGAGCTCGTTGAGCAGCCAGCGGCGGTTGAGGAAGAGAATGAGGGCCACTGCGGGAAATGGGGAGAGAACAGGGGAGGACAGGAGAGATGAGTGTGGGAGAATACGAAGTGAGGAGCGAATGAGCTCGATTCGCAGCCACAGAAGGAGCAGAACAGAGTGGTGAAATGAGAGACACGGGACGAACAAGGGATGGAACACGGGACGAACAACAGCACCAACCCAGGACAAAACTTTAAACCCTCAACCCTGACCATGTGCGGACCAGCCTACGTACCCGCAGCAAACGCCAGCACCGTTTTTCGCGTGGGACGGAACTCCTCCTGCCCGGGAACAAATTCCATCTGCCCGGGCCTGTGTCGACTGGCCCTAGAAGCTGCAGCTGCAGCATCAGCGTCCCGGCTATAGGTTGTCCCCCCTGGTACTGCAGCAGCAGCAGGTGCAACCTGTCCAGAAACGCCCTGTTCAGATGCAACCTGTCCGACATTCTCGGAGCTTCTGCTGTTATTAGCGTCGGCGGCGGACGCCGCGGAAACGGGGAGTCGCCATTTCGAACAGAGGGAAGGACGAGAGAAGCTTCGTACTGTGTGGTTGATCAACGATGGAGCGGGGGAGGGGAGGAGGGGAAATGCGGGAGAAGGAGAACGTGGCTTTCAGTGAAACTTGGCCTGAGAAGGGGGAGAAACGCGGCTTTCAGTGAAACATGGTTTGCCTTCTCAAAAATCTCTCGCAGGGGAGAAGGGGGAATGCGGGAGGAGGAGAACGCGGCTTTCAGTGAGACTCGGCTTGATACTGATTTTCGATCAGACTCAAAATAGCCATCGTTGCGAAGTAGGCGGGGAGTGGGACGAAATCTGGATCCTGATAAAAAAGACCTGGCAGTCTCACACTTATAAAGCGAGTCGAATAACAACGGCAAATTCGCTTACTCCCTTGTCCCCGAGTAAGCCCCCCTTGCTCACCCGCAACCCGCGGGATCGCCGGAGATATCCGCCTTAGCGATCCTGGAAACGAAGGAGGTGAGACAGTGGCGCGACTCGTTGCTTGCGAGCAGACGCACGCGGACGATCCACGTGTACTGACCAACGAAGCTTGCCCGACGAGGGTGTTGCTCGGCTGAGCTGTCAGGCCAGCCATGATTGGCGGAGAGCAGATAAGCAGCCGACCTTGCTGGCTGGCTGTGTTCGTGGACCAGATGTTGGGAGGAGAAAAAAGGCAGGCACGTGGAAGAGTGGTTCGCGATAATGACATACTCACGAGGATGCAATGTGTCCTGTTTTCCTTATGCCGAACCTACTCAAAAATAAGTTGAGAATTGGTAGAATCATTTCGCTTGTTGATGATGTGATAGAGGTAGCGACTTGATGATGATGTCATACAGGTAGCCTCCGCTCGCAGTTATCGTCGAAACTGTTGGGCTGAGAAAAGCCCTTAGGATCTTTTGCAGAGACTAAGTCCCAGCTGTAGAGACTTGAGACTTGGAGTAGTGCAGCGGAAGTTGAGACAGTTGAACCCTTGTACTAGTATGTGAGAACAAGTGATTGATTAAAGAAACAAGCATACAGCAATATATAGTAGATAAGAAAGCAGTTGTAGAATACAGTTACAGGAACGGTTTATCGAGTCGCACAGCGACTCGATTGCCGCTTCGGTTACCATCCGTGATGTTGTAACGGTCAGTCGCAACCTCCAGTTGCGACCTTTCGAGTCCTTTCGCATTCTTTGTCCGCCCCCCTCGTGTAACCTCCGTTGACTCGCGTGCTCCCCTGTAATCTTCCTCGAGTACAGTGTTACACTTCAGAAACGCTTAAGTCCTTGAGATATTTCCAACACTCCCCTTCGTTTCTGGAGTGCTGGAGTGTTCAGATCCGGTGGCGTTTGTTTGCCCGGTTAGGAGCATGCAGTAGTCGAATTTTGCTTTCGCCAATTTCTTCGTCAGATAATCTGCGGCCATTTCTGTCGTCGGGCAGTAACTGAGTTGAAGTCTCCCCTTCGCGATTTCATCCTTGACGAAGAAGTACCGCAGGGCGATGTGCTTGGTTCGATTGGCGAAGCCGTCCTTGTTCGCGATTTTGATCGCAGATTGGTTGTCGCAGAGGAGTGAGAAGGCGGGCAGGGTCGCGATCTTCGCTTCTTCGAGTAACTCTCGTAGGTAGAGTCCTTCCTTGGTCGCAGTACAAAGGGCGATATACTCTGCTTCAGCCGAGGATAGTGCGATTAACTCCTGCTTGCTCGACTGCCAGGAGATAGTTCCGATAGGTTCTAGTCGGTAGATGTAGCCCGTCCTAGACCGTCGATTTTCGCTGTCTCCTGCGTGGTCGGCGTCGACGTATCCGAGTAGTCGTACGGACGGTGTTGTTGCCTTGCTGTAGGTGAGCCCGATCGTCGGCGTGGAGACGAAGTAGAGTAGCGCTCGATTGAGTTCTTCGAGATCTTCCTGTTGCGGCTGCTTCAGATGTGTCGCCAGCTGACTCGCACTATAGGATAGGTCGGGTCGGCAGGTTACTGCTGCGAATAGTAGGCAGCCGAGCTTCTGTTGATACTCCTGGATTTGTTTCGCGGGGAGTTTTGTAGAGGCGCTGCCGTTGTTCCCGTAGCGGTAGGGAGTTGGGACCGCAGTCGGTGTTAGAGCGAATTTCTTCGCGACGGTGCTTGAGTACTTTCCAGCGTGTAGGTAGAACGCCGTGTCGTCTTCGACGACGTTCAGTCCTAGGTACTGCGTAACTTCGTCGGACACCGTGAGAGTTAAATCTTCTTTCAGCTCCCCTTCGAACCAGGTGGCGATGTCGGTAGTTGAGCCGATGTAGAGCAGGTCGTCGACGTAGACGATGAGCAGAACATACTCTCTTCCCTTCTGCAGTCGGTACATCCCTTGGTCATGCGGCAGCTGTAGGAAGCCGATTTTTACGAGACGGCTGTGAAGATGCTGCTGCCAGAGCCGCGGGGCTTGCTTGATCCCGTATAGGGATTTTGTCAGTCGGCATATTTTCGTGGGGTCGTCGATGAATCCGTGGGGTTGTTCGACGAAGATCTCAGCGTCCACAGGTGCGTATAGGAACGCATTCGCGACATCGATTTGGCGTAGTGGTAGTGTTTTTGTGGCCGCGACGGCGAGTAGGATGCGTAATGAGGTGTGACGGGAGACTGGGGCGAAGGTTTCTGTGTAGTCGGTTCCGTATCGTTGATCGAAGCCTCGTACGACCCATCGAGCTTTGAATCGTTCGATGGAGCCGTCTGAGTTGGTCTTGATGCGGTACACCCATTTCCCCGAGAGAACGTTCTTCCCGTTGATGCTCGTTGCAGGTACCAGTTTCCATGTTTCTCGGTCTTGCAGAGCTTTTAACTCCTTTTCCATCGCTTCTTTCCATTTTGCCTTATGTTCCCCCCCCAGAGCCTGCGACAAGGTTGAAGGCTCACGCGTAGAAGGCGGCGGCGGATGCTGGACGGAGACCCAGAGGCCTAGAATCTGGAGTCCCGTGGGTGTGTGTCGAGGGGAATTGTCATTCCCGGAATAAGCTGCTTCGTCACCGTCTTCGGGGTCAGGTAAGAAATTGGGGCCGATGCGTTCCGAAATATTCGTGTCGACGGGGTGCGGTGTAGCGTAACCTTGGTCGGCGAAGTGGTAAAAGGTGTCGAGGTTGTTGCTATCGAGGGGATTATCTTCATCGAGTGGAACAGGTATGGAACAGAATGGGAGTGGCCCGGCAGCTTCCGAGGCTCCAGGTACGTCTTCTTCTGCTGCGTCAGCCTCGGCAGCATGGTCAGCGAAGGAGCGAAGGCCCGCGAAGCCGTCGGTGGGGTCGTCTGAGTTGGCAATGTTGTCCAGGTAATGCTGCAGCGTCAGTCGCTCGTAGAAGATAACATCACGTGATGCCACCGTATTTTTGTCTTGTATGTCGAGGATCTTCCACGCGTGAAAATGTTTGGCGATGCCGAGGTGTAGTCCCCACCGAGCTCGTTGAGTGAAGCGTCCTGCTCGAGCTGTGTGGGGTCTGTATTGTACCATGCAGCCGAAAACTCGAAGTAATTTTGTGCTGCCCCGTTTTCCCGTCCACAGCAGGTGTGGTGATGCGTTGTTGGGGAGCGATGACGAGGACAACAGGTTGTGCAGGTGGACTGCATGTGTCATCGCGTCTGGCCACAGTGCGTTGGGCAGCCTTATCCCCAGAAGCAGTTTTCGCATCGTCGTCTGCAAGGTCCGGTTCATGCGTTCTGCTACCCCCTGCTGCTGGTGAGCATAGGGCAGAGACACCAGGCGTCGGATTCCCCTTTCCGCGAGATAGGTCCTGAAGCGTTGTGACTGGTATTCCAGTGCACCGTCTGACTGGAAACTCTTGAGTTTGGTTCCTGACTCTCGTTCGGCGATTGGAAGCCATGTGGTGAATGCCTCGAAGGCTTGATCGCGCGTTTTGAGATTGAAGTGCCAGACGTATTTGGTTGCGGCGTCGATGAACGTGATGACGTAGTTGAAGTCGGCTTCGGTGTCGTCTCGAGGCATGTTTAGAATATCGCTGTAGACCTTTTCCATCGGAGCGTAAGTGGGTGCGCTTGGATTGTGATGGGCTGGGAAAGGTTGATGAGGAAGATCTGCTTCGGGGCATGTGAAACACCGTGCGCGTGGTCGTCGGAGTTCCTGGCCGCTCGTCGTCAGAAGGGCGTTGCGTTCTAACACTTCTGCTTGGATTGTTTGAAGTATTGTGCTGTTTGCAGGATGTCCGAGACGTTGGTGCCAGATGTCGTCGGGAGCGCGGTGACCGGGCGAGCGGTGGTAGATGTCGGCGTTGGAGAAGAACGCGACGACCGAGGCGGGACTTCGACAAGCTTCTCGTGTGGCGGGCATAAGTTGGTCTGCTTCGGTTGGCTGTCCTCGTGTCGCTGGTGGTGGTACTCGGCTGGGTCCTGCTGCCGATACTGCAGGTGATGGTTTTGTTGGGACACATGCGGGTACTTGTCTTTCTTGTCTGATAACTGCTAATGCTCGTGTTCTTTCTGCTGCAGGTATGGTGTTGGAGTGCCAGAAGCCGTCGCTGTCGAAGTCGGGATCAAGATCTGGCGGATGAGTCCAGGCGGCGAAGGATACGATACCGTCGCTGTCGGCAGTTCCGCGGTCGGGGACGAAGTCCAACACGAAGACACCGGACTTCAGGAGGGCACGACCGATGAAGAGACCGCCCTTCCCGTGGTAAAGTCGGAACTCGTTGGAGAAGGAGTCGCACTCCAGGTGAATCCCCTTAGCCATTAGTTGGCTTACGCTTAGTAGGTTGTATCCCAGATTGTCGACGATGAGGACCTTGTTGAGCTGAAGAATAACGTTTGTCTCCATTGATTGTAACTGAACCACGCCTTGTCTATTTGTTTTCAGGTTTTCGTTGTTGGCGACGGTGATGACGACGTCACGGTTGAGGCGTCGCTCGTGTTGTACGAAGCGTCCGGAGGAGCACATGTGCTGACCGCAGCAACTGTCCAAGAACCAGGTGTTCCGCCCGGTGGGTTCGGCGTTAGCGACTGCAGCGTATGTCGGGTTGACCTGAAGTCCTTGCGAGCGCGGCGGCGGGAATTCCTCTTCGTCTGGTGCGTAAGTGGGTGGTGAAGCGGGTGCGCAGTTGTCGATGTGTACCATGCAGTTGATGATGTTGGGTGTTTGTTGTGCAGATGTTGAAGAGCGCCTTGGAGGACTTGCTTGAGTGGAAGCGACTTGTGGGTCTGCTGCACGGTAAACGCGAGGGCGGTTGCAGTTGACCTTGGAGTGCCCGGAAGTCTGACAGTTGTGGCAGAACGGCGGCACGATGGTGAGTCCTCGGTTGTCGCGTTGATCTTGCTTGCTGCGTCGGTTGTAGTTGTTGTCATTTCTTCTTTGAGTGTAGAAGACTAACTGCTGTTGCTTCCTTGGTTGTCTTTCCTCGAACAGATCCATCTCCTGTTGTTCAGCGTGAAGCTCGGCGCAGAGGTGCATCTCCGAAATTCTTCCGTGGGCTCGAAGAAGTGATCGTGTGGTTCTCCATTCTGGCCCGAGCCCGGCGAGGACAAGTGTCACGAAGCTTTCTTCAGTGATTGTTCCTCCGCACCGAAGCAGGCGGTCGCGGAGGGTCTGGCAGCGACTCATATACTGCATCGCCTTTTCCCCGGTCTTCATCTGTATTGTTGTCAGCTGTTGCATGAGTCTGCTTTGTGTCACGCTGTCGTTTGCTTGGTAAAGGCATTTGAGGTGGTGCCATGCGAGCTCCGCGGAGTTTCCATAACTCCGATACGTTCTGATGCTCTGCTGCTCTTGTGGTGACAGGTTTCTCAGGAGTACCGTGTACGCCAGCAGCGACTGATACGTGAAGATCTCTTGTTCCTTCCCAGTGCCGTTGCTTGGGAATGGCAGGGACCCGTTGAAGTATCCCAGAAGATGCGCGGCCTCCATCAGCAGCTCGAACTCGAAGCTCCAGGTAAAGAAGTCGTGTCCGTTGAACGGTGAGGATGTCTGAAGTTTGATCACGTGTGAGAACTGCGCCTGTAAACTTAAGATTTCATTCGGTGTTTGTTGTGAAGCAGCTGCTGTTGGCTGGGCACGGGGCGGCATGAATTCGAACGTCCCCGGCGAAGAATGATAAGGCGCAAAGGTAGGCGCTTGATTGTGTCGCCCGAAGGATGAGTTGTCGAGACTCATCGGCGCTAATCCCATATTCCCTCCATTGCTCTGTGTTGAGTGCGCAGGTGTCCTTGTCTGCTGCTGCTGATCGAAGTGTGACATGAAGCTGAAGAATCTCTCCATGAGATTCGGGTCCACACTTGAAGAGGGAGACGGGGTCACCATCTCTGGTACTCTTCCCGTTGTTTCTTGAGCAGTCCCGGTCTCTGTCTGCAGTCCTGAGGTGTGCAGACCAGAGTTGCCGTGTTGAGTTTCTTGGGCGCTGGGTGAGCCCGTAGAGACTTTCTTGCCCTTGTTGTCCATGTCTTGTAATCAATGAAGTCGTTGAATTGAGTTGAGTTGCAGGTTGTTGATAGGACGTAGTTGCTGGGAGTTTGGTCTCTGACCAGCTCTCATACCATGTTGGGCTGAGAAAAGCCCTTAGGATCTTTTGCAGAGACTAAGTCCCAGCTGTAGAGACTTGAGACTTGGAGTAGTGCAGCGGAAGTTGAGACAGTTGAACCCTTGTACTAGTATGTGAGAACAAGTGATTGATTAAAGAAACAAGCATACAGCAATATATAGTAGATAAGAAAGCAGTTGTAGAATACAGTTACAGGAACGGTTTATCGAGTCGCACAGCGACTCGATTGCCGCTTCGGTTACCATCCGTGATGTTGTAACGGTCAGTCGCAACCTCCAGTTGCGACCTTTCGAGTCCTTTCGCATTCTTTGTCCGCCCCCCTCGTGTAACCTCCGTTGACTCGCGTGCTCCCCTGTAATCTTCCTCGAGTACAGTGTTACACTTCAGAAACGCTTAAGTCCTTGAGATATTTCCAACAGAAACATTTACCTCATTGTACTACTTGCCACATGCTTCTACTTTTTGGGTTGCGGAGCAACCTATTGCAATCGGGCTGTTTTTTTCTTCAAGTTTTGTGAAATAAAAATCAAATGTTTGTTGTGATGGAAATAAAACATTTTATGTATAATAAAGTCTCATCATGAAATGCTCCGCAACCCTAAGACGATCTCGTCGCCTCTTTTTTTTTTTTTTTTTTCCTTCCCCTAGAATTCAAGGCAAACTTAGTTATTTCCAAATTTCTCCAAATTTCATTAAAGAGCTTGACAAGCTATCTACAGCACAAAATGCAGGATGGTCACCAGGGACTTCGTCCCCTAGCCACACCAGCATCTCACACAAAATCCACCATTTCACTACCACAACTTCTTAGACTAGCCATTTTCCCAGCCAGTCCAAGCAAAATCCTGGTGCAGCCGGAGGAAAGAACTCAGCAGGGCAGAACGAGCCGTGACTCCATCCACCATCTGCACCCTCAGACGATGATGGCAGGAGCAAGCTGACTTGGAAGGCGTCGAAGCAGCACCAAGCAACGTACAAAAGAAGAAACAGAACCAGTGAGGACGATGGAACCTGTTGCAACTGAAGCAGTAACTCAAGCAACTCCCTTGGTTGACGAAGCAGAGGGCGCAGGCAGCACATGTACAGAATGTACAACAGGGCTTTAAGCCCCAGTATTGACTGCCAAAAAACCGCTCCAGTTATTCTTGCAGATATTGAAGTCCCAGGCTTGGATACATGTTGCCCACGTTGTTAGCTGCACAGCGACTCCACTTCTGTGATGCTGCTCTTCTAACGGTACTCTGCCTTCGACTTGGGATTGTACAGCCTGAAAATGCAAGGAGCACAAAATGACATCAGGAAACCCGTTTTTACAGAACAAGGCTAAATAACGCATATCATAATTCGATTAGAATGAGAAATTTATGAAAGGGAAAATCAGAAAGGGCAGAAGGGAGCCCGAAATACATTACATTGCATCAGGGCTCTGGACGCTCAGATCGTGAGCGGATTATACCAGTCGAACACGGACGGCTCCGACGAGCTAGCCTTGTCGAATCTGGTCGCACCCACGCGGTCCATCCCAGCCTTGTTACTCCCCGGGTGAAACACACTGCGCCACACGTTCTCTCCCTTGCGGGACGCTGGAAAAGTAACAGCCAACCGATAATGACAAGAAAAATGTCAGTCAGCTGGAGAGAGAAGACAGCGGCAGTTCAAGAAAGCAGCAGTTGAACAAATGCAAATCAATCGGGAATTAACAACCAGAACGGAGCGAAACGTACCAGGAGAAGGCAAGTTCGAGAGGCCGGTGTCGTAGTGAGCAGGCAGTGAGCGGGACGTGTCGAGCCTGCGAGCCATCTGTGGCGGTTGCGGAGCGATGGAGATGCTCTTGGTGATTCTTGGCATCACCGTCCGCCCGTCAGATGCCATGTCCGCGCTCCTCCGCCGCTCGTCAAGATTCAACGACGGAATCCCTGCACCAGAGAAAAATAAACGAGATTTAGTAGCGATAAAGCGATGGACATTGACGGGCAATTCAGCAATAAAGTTGTGCGGAAAGAATCTCGGACGACGGAGGGGGAAAAAAACGGCTGCAGTATCCAGTTCTTCGAAGCAACTCTTGCGCACCATGATATCCGCCTTCAGTCGACGGTGAAAGCGGGCTTCCCGCGCTGTCGTAACGCTCCAGCGAGCTTCGCGGGGAAGTGGCGATGCTCTTGTCCATGGAGGAGGGGAGCTGCGGGGAGCTTCCCATGACCTCCGTCCAGACCTTCTCGATGAAACTCATTCTTGTAGAGGCAACGACGAAGCTTGCTCGATGAAGAAGCTGGCTTGGTGAAGCCTGCTTGATGGAAAAAACCTCGCACAAGGGTGGCGTGCGGAGGTGATCTCCTCGACCGTTGAGAGGGGAAGGGAAGTTGGGGAGTTCGAGCACACGGCGAGCTGCGACCCAAATTCGTTCACTTCACGCTCTTGGTCTCTGAGAATGCTTTGCTTTTCGCGGCCTCCGCTCTTATAGTAAAGCAGGACGACGGAGGTAACGGACAGAAAAGACGGGGACTGGATGGGCTGGACGGAAGGTCGACTGAAGGGGTGTCTGTCACTGCGACTGGGAGAGGAGAGGCTGGGAGGGGGAGGGGGAAAGCTTCTGGAATTTGCGCAGAGGCTCGATTTGGCTAATGAAAACATTGAATATTTACCCTGCTTGTTGAATGAATGGACGGGTTATCGGGTTGCGCAGATAGCATGACAACCTTTCTTTCTGCATCGAACTTTGCATTAAATAACACTCCTGACTCGATTTTCCAGACAATCGTGTTGATGGGGAAAATAGGGAACTGCTCAGAAATCGGCGTGGAGGAAAAAAAATGACGTTTCCCCACTTCAGGAGCCTCCGTCATGTCTTGAGACTCTCGCGGTGCGGCGCACGCAAAGGGTTTGTGTTGTTCTGTTCCATGCGCGGAAACAGTCGAACTTGAGAGCACAGACACATGCTTCGGGCATGAGCAAAAACTTGCTTTACACATGCAGGGAGTGGTGGTGAGGCAAGACAGAACCAAGGCCGTTACAGGCAAGGCAAAAATCACTCTAAGTGGACGAGCCATCCAGAAATCCACGAGGCCGATTCGGATTGGTTAATCTTGCAACCTAGGCCGACGCACGAGGAAAGCGTGCGTGAACATTGAGGTGGACTTATCCAATCAGCACAAAGTTCACATCTTGATGACGCTAGATATCTGCCAATGCGTCACTTCCCATGTGGGCTGACCTGGATGGTGTTTTAGCGGGAGAGCAGGCATGCCTGTCGGCCGAATTTGAGACACATTGCTAGCTGGAACTCACGTGCTACACGCGAATGTCTGGTACAACTTTATCGGATAAGCAAAACAATTACTGGCCTCAGCATTCATACGCTTTCCAAAGGTACTCTACTCTAGCTTGTACACAAACCGAGTATATAGCCGGACTAACTACAATGCCATCAATATGAAAATGTGAAAAATGAATGACAAGCTCAATTCATATATTGCCAAACACAACTACAATTAGAAGACAATCGTGCAATAATTTAGACACAACACAAAATGCATCACAAACCTTGCAAATGGTGCAAATCGTCACGACCTTGCACAAGAAGAATGCGAATGCTGATGTCTTCTGGGTTCACGCATAGCTAATCTAAAGATACAGTTGCAACAAAAAAGGCTTTACAGTAACAGCCTAAGTTACATTTGACACACCCCCTAGACTATATAGGGGCAGTGCCTAACAAGGGAAGAAGCAGCTCCGGGCGGCACTACTAGTCCAGCCTTTGAGACAAGGGTTTAAAGACCAGTCAAAAGGAGTACAGACAAGGAAAGAGCAAGACCAGGGCGGCACTACTAGTCCAGCCACTGGGAGAGGCCACAAGGCCAGTCAGGGTAAAATATATATAAAGGACAGTACAAAGTCAAGGCCCTAGCAAGTGAGAGACTACACGAACGAGACCTAGCTGTAAATAGTGCCGCTGATGATCTTTAGGCGCAAGCGCCTTCGTAAAGATATAAGCTGTGTTGGCACCGGAGGCCAAGTGTACTGCGCGCGCCTGGTGGCGCTGCTGGAGCTCACGCAGGAGGAAGTACCGCAACTGGATGTGCTTCACTCTGCCCTCGAATCGAGGCTCTTGACACAGGAGGATAATGGCCCTGTTGTCAGCGTACAGGATCGGGACAGAGCTAGGCCGCTCACCTAATTCAGTGAGCAAGAAGGTCAGCCAGCGAAGCTCCTATGCCGCCATGGCACTGGCGTAGATCTCGGCCTCACAGCTGGACTGGGCAATAGACGAGGAACGTGTAGCTCTCCACGCGACGGCACCTGAACCAAGGTTAAAGCAGTAGCCCTGCGAGGACCTGAGGGTCTCGGCGTCGTCTGCCCAAGAAGCGTCTGTGTGTCCAGTAAGGTTCACTGGCCTGCGTCCTCCTAGCACTAACCCCATGCCCGATGTACTTACAAGATAACGTAAAACCCTCTTAGCGGCAGACTAGTGCTGAGGTCGGTGTCTGCCTGTAGCCACAAAGCGAGCCAGTATGCTGAGAGGGTATGCGAGATCTGAGCGAGTGCAAGTCATCAGGTACATGAGGCAACCCACCAGCTCTGCGTAAGGACCACTGGGCTCTACTGACTCCTCAGGAACTGGAGCGGAGAGCCTGTGGTCTAGAGGCAGAGGAGTGGGCTGTGCGGAGGAGAAATGAAGGCCGAACCTCTGAAGGACCTGGTGCACCAAATGTGACTGAGTCAAGGTGATGGTGCGCGCTGCTCTGTCCCTGGAGATCTGCAAGCCAAGGTAGTGGCGCGGTTCTCCAAGGTCAGTGCAGGTGTGTCTCTTCAGCAGCTCTGCCTTCACGGAGGCCAGTGCGTCCCTGTCTGCAGTGGCGAAGACCAGGTCGTCTACGTAAACAAGGATGTAGAACGGAGTCTGGCCAGTACGAACGAAGAGCGATCTGCAGAGGACGGAAAGAACTGCAGGGTAGCACGCAACATGTCGTGCCTCTTACAGGGAGCTTGCCGCAGGCCGTAGATGGGGTGCCGAAGGAGCGATTGGGTCCTAGGAGGGAAGGAACCAGTGAAGCCCTGAGGGCGGCGCAGGTAGACCTGCTCGTGTAGACTGCCCTGAAGAAAGGCAGTGGAGAAGTCGAGGGAGTGAAGCTCGTATTCACGCTGAGCTGCTACGTAAAGCAGCACCCGAAGAGTAGTCATCTTCGGGGTCGGAGCGAAGGTCTAAAAGAAGTCCACCCCCTCATGCTGACTGAAACCTCTAGCCACGTAGCGCGCCTTGAACACAGGCAGCTCTCAAGGGGGGCGCTTCATCTTGAAGAGCCAGCGGCCATCGACTACGTTCACCCCAGGTGGGGGAACTGCGTCGAAGTAGGTGCCGGTGGATCTCCAAGATGCCATCTCCTGCTCCATGGCAGCTATGCACTGGGAGGCCCAAGGTCCCGAGACCGCCTAAGCGTAAGTGCGAGGGGTCGGGATGTCAAAAGCGCCTGGGTCACCCTCAGGGACTAGCAGCATGGAACAGAGATGGGGAGCAGCCTCGGACAGGAAAGCAAGCTCGTACTGGCGGTCCTCCAGGACGTCACTGCCGAGGGCAGGAGCACCCCGGACAGACGGAGGACAGGCAGGGTCAGAGACCAGAGCGGTGGCGTAGTCAGGGCGGCGGATAGAGGCGAAGTCAGCGACCGCAGTGACAAGAGCGTCAAGCCACGAAACCGGAACAAACGGGTCGGTAACGAGAGAGGCAAGGACCCGAGGAACAAGAGGACGAGCGACACGAAGGAAGTCAGACAGAGGGGGAGGCGCAACAACAAGGGAGGACGGAGGAGGCGACGGCAGGAGGGGAGGATGAGCCCCGTGGGAACGAAGCAACATAGGGTGGGAGCGCGAGATAGGGGAGACATGGCAATCACGGGAGAGATGGCGAGGCCAGACGTGCGACGGAGGTGTCGGGTCAGGAGACAGAGGAGGAGACACAAGAGAGGAACGAGGAGGGAGACGAGCCGGGGATGAGTCCGGGGGAGGGAACACAGGGCCGTAGACCGGAAGAGGAGGGAACTGAAGGCCGAGCAGGCGAAGGGCGGACACCGGCGAGGACTGCGGCTGCTGCGGCACAACACCGACTCCAAGACCGCCAGCAGCTCCACGGCTACCGCCGGAACACTCCACTCCTGCACCCCTAGAGGGAACATCCCAAGATCCAGAAACCCCGCCAGCACCGGTACCGCTCCCAACTCTTGCACCACCAGAGGCGACGAACGGCTGCTGCGGCAGTGACGGCTCGGGCGGCGGCGATGAGGACGGCGGCAGCGGCGACGACTGCTGCTGCGGCGGCGGAGGAGGAGACACCAGGGGGGAGGCAGGCGGCAAGGGCTGGGCCGCAGGACTACCAGAGTCAGCAGACTCCTCTACCGGGACAACTTACGGGAGGGGAGTGACGTGAGACACACCAGACGGGGCAGGACGCGGGCGGGGCGGGGCTGGGGATACCAGGGATGGGGGAACCAGGAAGAGGGGGGGGGTAACCAGGGAACCACGGTGTGGAAAGCGGTGGAAGAACGAAACGGACTCATCAAAGGTAACAACGCGGGAGTGAAAGAAACGGTGGGACAGCGGGTGGTAGAAATGCTAGTCGGACGAGTCAAGGGGGAAACCAAGGAAGACGCAGGGGACAGTGCGGGCAGTAAGCTTGTCCGTGCCAGAGGCACGAACGTGAGCAAGGCAGCCCCAGACGTGGAACGCTGACGCGTCACCAGGAGACCAGGTCCAAAGAAGGGTCGGCGAAACCTGCGGCCGCTGAGGGTGCGGCCACAGGTTAAGCTGGTGAGCAGCGCAGCGAACCGCGAACGGCCACAGAACATGGGGTGCACCGGCGTCGATCATGGAGGTACGAGCCACCTCGATGACCAAACCAATGCGTCGCTCAGCGACCCCATTCTGATGCGGCGAGTCCGGCAGGGTGAACGTCTGGGTGATGCCCTCCGCACGACAGAAGAGACCAAGGACACCGGAGGCAAACTCGCCACCACGGTCAGAGTGAAGACGCAGGACAGGGAGACCGCGGTGGACACACGTAGAGACTAGCCAGGGGATAAGAACGTCAGGCACGTCAGCCTTCCGCTCCAAGGGAAATACCGTGGTGTAGCGCGTGTAGTCGTCAATAAGCACGAGGAAGTAGCGCTTGCGACGCGGTCCATGGACGGGGGCGGGGCCCCAGACGTCCATGTGGAATGTCTGTAGCGATGCGGTGGTGGGGGGGAAAGAGGAGGAGTGAGGGGCACGGCGGAGCCAACCCTCGACGCAGGGCGTGCACGCTGGCGCTTTGGAGGGGGGCAACGCGGGGAACGACCCTGGGAGACCTAGGACAGGACCGTGCTGTGACATGTGACGGAGACGCAGGAGCGCATGGTGACCTAGACGGTGGTGCCACAGGAGGTCGGGTGAGTAAGCGACCGACACGAGCAGGCCGCTGCAGCCTGAGACGATACAGCTACCTGGGGAGGCGTCCGAAACGTGGGGGGCGCGGTGTCCAGTATGAACAGGCCACACACCGGGTCTTGGGGGAACGTAGCGAGGGGAGCACCAGTGGCGGCCTCAGTACAGACAGCAAGCCGCTCGTGACCAGG